ACATAATGAATTGTAAATTAAATAAATTCAAACTCAAAATTTCTAAATTTTCAAATATTGGGAAATCGACTCGTGGCTCGAACTCTCAATTTTGTTTTTAAAAACAAAAATCCCCAGCAGAGTTGCCAAGTTGTCGCAACCAGTTCTTCGAGGGAAAAGCCGACTAGTTGCATTGATGAGGTTTTTCTTTTGAAAAGGGTTTTGATGGAAAGATGAGGGTCACCCCCAATCATTTTTAGGGTGCAATTGGAACACCTAATTGAGTAATTTTAATAAAACATTTTAGTTTATCAAATATACCAAATTTTGGTCTGTAAAAACAAAAATTAGGTTTGAGAGTCGGTTTTGCATGGGGGGAGGATTAGCACCCCATAGCGCCTAGAAATTGGTACCTAGTCGATTATCTTATATTTAAAATTTAAAATTTTAATTTCGATGTTTTATTTAATTTAAAAATCATTATGGATGCCAAATTTGGAAAAGGATATCGGTTTACGAAGACTAATAATGACTACACTCGAGCATTTAATGTGAAAGCTTCTTTATTGATCTAAGTAAACAAACATTGCCTTAAAGTTTAAGAAATCATGATTTGGGGTTTTAAAAAGGGTGTTGATTTACTTCGGAAATTACTAGTGGTCACCCCCTGAGCATAACGCGGAGGATACACTATTAATTACTTGATAAATGAATATTACCTTATTATTTTAAAATCAAGATGCAATCAAACAACCATTTAAAAATCTAATTATACTAGGTGGGTTAATTAAGGCAATCCCTAACTTAAAGTGTCAATTATGCAGTTTAAAGAACCTAAAGAACTAAATCTAAAAATGGAGGCTCTAAAATTAATCCTAATTTATTTTAACCAATTATTGAGTCGAATAATTGAGATGGTCCCTCGGGCATGTTAATGTAAGAGCCAAATCAAATTACTCCCTAAATTAAAGTACTAAAATGAAATTAAAATGAAGGCTCTAATATTAATCCTAATTTATTTTAACTAATTATTAAGTCGAATAATCGAAATGGTCCCTCGAGCATGTTAATGCGAGAGACAAATCAAATTACTTCCTAAATTAAAGGACTATAGCATGAGAAATCTAAATCTAGAGGTTAAATTTAAAGTCTTAGGTTCTAACTATGAACTAAATTGAAGAGAATTAAATCTAAAGGATATATCCTAAAATTTTAACTAATGAAAGAAAAATATTAAACTTAAATGCAAATGAATTAAAAACAATAAAATGAAATAAATAGAGAAGTATAAAGCATGTATAAATTAAGATTAATTGTACAAGTAAAAAACTAATTAAAGAATTACAAATTACAAAATGGCTTTTATTAGACTAAATTAATAAAAATTATTAATCTAGGGACAAAATTAAAACAAGTACTCAATAAGGGACCTAATTTAAACTAATTATACAAGTTCTAGTATAGGGACTAAATTAAAGTAAATGTAAATTAAACATGCAAAACTGGAAGTAGGATAGTGTCCTAATTGCAAAAACACGCCCGAGTTAGATGGACTAAAACATGATTTCCATTTTAATAAATCTAAAATAGAAATCCGTAAAATTATGAAATATGGACATCAAAATTAAATAAAAAATTGAAAAGAACATTACTGGTAGTGGTGTAAACAAGCCGAGTCGAGCTCGAGTAGTGCTGAGCTCGACTCGAAAACTCGCAAGTTTAAAATTTTCAAGTTCGACTCAAACTCGAAATCCTGAACTGAAGCTCGTGAGTAGCTCGAAAGGCTCGAAATGAAGAAAAAAATTCTTAAACTTAACTCGATTGAAGCCTCAAACTCAAACTCGAACCTGAACCTTAAATACATGAAAATCTTACTGTTTTTTTTAAAAATCAATACATAAATGTTAATATTATTAATAATTTATTTTTTAAAAAATAAAATATTAATATATTATGTTTTCGAGCTGCTCACGAGCTTTTCGAGTCGAATATCAAGTAGCTCGTTTCGTCTCGTTAAGAACTCGAGCTCGATTCGAGTCCATTCGATCAGAGTATTTATCTAGCCTTGATCGATTCGATCTCTAGTAGCTCGCGATCTATCTCGTCTCATTTACAACCCTAATTACTGGTGACTAAGATATAATTTCTAGCTAAACTGGGGAGGACCTAAAAGAAATTATTTCAATTTAATTAAAGCTAAAATATCCAGAGATAAAAATGTCAAATAACATGAATAGAGTATAAACTTTCAAAGAAACACGAAATTAAAGCTGATTAGGGACTAATTTGTAAAATCACACTTTATTTTTTAGGGTACAAAGACGATTTGACCAGTTTTGAATAGTGACTAAAATGTAATAAACGAAAACAAAGAAGAACCTTTACAGCAATAAATCCCACGCAATAAACCCGAACGAAGCAGAGTCGTTGAACCAGTGATATAAAAATTTTCTTTTAATATTCAAAACTCTTATGCAATATTTTTCAATATTGTTCTTTAAATTGAATTTAATATTACACCAAATTAAAACAACAATAGTATATAACATTGTACTAATAATAATATTGTCAAAATATATAATTAAAGGGTTTATCAAATTAAAACAATAATAATATCCAACCTTAATAATACATAGTCTAATTCATAATTAACAACACATCAATCCAACAATACAAATACTGAAGTCTATACTACATCCCATTAGAGCTAAAATATTGTCTAAGCCATAAATAATAATACACCACATTTAAATCTCACATAAATAATGTGAAGAGTTACTTGTCCTACGCCAAGTTTCCTCCTTACACCAGAGTTTCTCAGAAGTTCAAACTACATTCCATCATCAGAAAAGGCATACCGTCTTGAGCATTTGTTCACCAGTGTAAGCCTCAGCCGATATACTGATTAAATCTTTCACCTGTGAAGGGTTACAATTAAATGAGCAATTGGTTTTGCAAGTTTAGAAAATTGAAAAAGAATTATAGAAGATATTTTACAGATATAACACAGAAACAAGTCAAAATCTGGGACCAAAGCAAAACTATAACATGAGAAATGGATAAAAATACCTAAAAAGGGACATTAAAGCAATGGAGTTTCCCTGATTTGTATGGCTGGACTTGGACCTGAAGGCAAACTGAACAGGAAACTTTATCCCAGGAGCATCAACAATGTTATTTTGAGTGATTATGATCTTTGGGATTTTTTCAACCAAATCTCCTTTCAATCCCTTAACATCGTCGGTGTCGAAGATGTTCTGGACCTCCTCAAAAGCTGTTTCAGCAGCTCCCATCTGATAATAGAAAATGAATATCATAAGCAAAATGTCATTTGATATAGAAACCAACAACCAAATTAAACCAGTGAAATCAAGATAACAAACAAAACAGCTCACCAAATAGAGCAAACATCCGATCCTGGATTCATCAGACTGCCAAAGAACAATAGAAGATTCAAAAACTTCGATAGAAAAAATCGCTCCAGAAATAACTTCAGCCGCATCCCCTCGAAGGAATCTGCATCCCCTAACAGGGTTCCCACTGCACACATAAAATGTCAATCTCTTCACCAATATTTGACTACATCAAGCTTAATCTCAGTCTCAAGCATTAATTGTAGGTAGGGGTCGGAATAGGCCAGGCCAGGCTTTAATAGGCCTGGGCCTGGCCTACAATGATTTTTATAGGCCTGAGCCTGGCCTGTGTCCTGTAAAAGGCTTTTATTTAGGCCTGGCCTGTTTAAAAGCTTGGCATGTTTAAAAGCCTGTTTAACAATAAACATTTAATATTTTCAGTTTAGTCATTAATTTTAGAGTAAAATCCCTATTACGTCACTTTAACTTAGTGCATTTTACAAAGTAGTCACACTAAATAGGCCGGCCTATCAGGCTTATAAGGCTTTTTAATAGGCCTAAGCCTGGCCTGTTTAATTAAATAAGCTTTTAAAAAGGCCTGACCTGACCTTTTTATTAAATAGGCCAGGCCAGGCCAGGCCATAGGCCCTTGTAGGCCGGTCTGGCTTATTCCGACCCCTAATTGTAGGAAACTAAACAACATTGTCATTAACTCTACGTGTATTTTGGAGCTAAATGTAATAACAAATTCATCCAAATATTGCTTTGTTTGCTAGCAAAATACTTTCACAGTATTGTAATCCAACAAAATTAGAACAACAACAAAATTTGATTTATCTCGAATCCACATAATATCATACTTGGAGCAAAACACCAATATGAGAAATCTAATTTAACAAGAAATCAAATTCAATTTATTGCAGTATGGATGCTTTGAATGAAAACAAAATTATATAAAAAATACATCTACAACGAGAAATCTAAAAAGCTTTAATAGAAATAATGAAGCAAAACAGAGAAGAAGAGAGAAAGAAGGCGAAACTGCAAAAATCTTTAAGCTTTTCAATGGAATCTCCAAGCAAAAAAGACGAGGACCGAGGTAAACGAGATGGGTATTCGTGGAATTTCATCCCTTTTTCACTTTCTTTTAATGAAATCCCCAAATAGAGGTTATGATGATGTACACCTCAGGGGATTTGTGAAGTAGAAGAAGATGAAAGCTTATAGAGAAGATGAAAAGAGTGATACCTGAGAAGACGATCGATCGCCTCGCAGGTGAGAAGGAGGCCAGATTTTTTGGTGTGGAGCAAGGGACGAGAGAACGAAGTTCAGAATCAATGTGGAGCAAGGGATGAGAGAACAATGGAAAATGACTTATGGATTTCCAAACGATAAGTCATTTTACCGTGTTTTCTTTTAAGTTTTCCTTTGACTGGAAAACAAATTACATTGACCTCATTGTTTTACAGGAACTAAATATAAGAAAAGAGGGAAAACATTTTTTATAAAATATTTTCTCCCAACCAAACATACCCTAAATATGAGGATGACCTATTGGGCCAAATAATCTACCTGCATGGATTATTTGACCAATTTGGCCTAGAGAGAGGAGCAGACAAATGGTAACTCAAACTACAAAGAGACAGTGAAGCCCCCATTTTTATATTTGAAAAAAAAATAAACGGAAAGAAGCGGGATTAGGGTTTTGCAGAGACGAAGTCTCTAGAGTGAAAGAAAGAGTTATTAGATAAATTTCTCTCTCTCTATATATATATAAATAAAAACTGTATCAGTAAAATAAATCAAAGGAAAAGACAGAAGTGAGAGAGAGATAAAACAGGAATATGGCGAAGAGGCAACGATGTTATTTGGACATAAGCATAGGTGACGAGCTTGAAGGAAGGATAATAGTGGAACTGTTCAACGATGTAGTGCCCAAAACAGCAGAGAATTTCAGGGCTCTTTGCACTGGTGAAAAGGGCATTGGTCCTAACACCGGTGTGCCTCTTCACTACAAGGTCTTTCTCTCTTTATTTATGTGTTCTGTTGTTTTAATTTGGGTTGTGTGGTTATCTGGGTTTATGTTGGTTTTGCTTTTCTAGGTTCATGTTCTTGGAATGAAAGATTACTGTTTCCTTTTCACTCTTTGAATTTGTTCCTCTGGGGTATCGGTAGATGGAAATCTTTTAGATCTTTGAATATATGGATTCATGTTACGTATCGGTGTCAACTTTGATATTGATTCTTTAATTTGTTAATTGATAATTTGAATTGGAATATTTGAAATAGTTGGGTTCTGGATGATCTCGAATCAATAAGTTAGTCTTGATTTTGATTTCATTTTTCAGAAAAGATGTTTCGTTGCTTAATTATTAACTATCTTCCTTTGGATGGGAACTTCGATTTTGTTCTGTTTGAATGATACATTTATTTATTTATTTGTATTATTTTAGGGAGTTCGTTTCCATCGAGTCATCAAAGGATTTATGGTACAAGGTGGGGATATATCTGGTGGTGATGGTACCGGAGGAGAGTCGATTTATGGTTTGAAATTCGAAAATGAAAATTTTGAATTGAAACATGAAAGGAAAGGAATGTTATCTATGGCAAACTCTGGTCCAAACACAAACGGGTCTCAGTTCTTCATCACTACTGCTCGCACTTCTCATTTAGACGGTAAACATGTTGTATTTGGTAAGGTGGTCAAAGGAATGGGAGTCGTTCGTTCGATTGAGCATGTAACCACCGGTGAAGCTGATTGCCCCACTGTCCATGTTACAATCACTGATTGTGGAGAAATTCTGGAGGGGTCAGATGATGGGATATCCAATTTTTTCAATGATGGTGATTCTTATGCTGATTGGCCAGCTGACCTTGATGAGAGTCCTAATGAGCTCTCTTGGTGGATGACTTCTGTAGATTCTATTAAGGCTTTCGGAAATGAACATTATAAGGTAATTTCTTTATACATGTTTATTAGTGATGTAATCGGTTCATTGTCATACAGAATTGTGCTTTCATACAACTCTTGCGAAATTGATATCTCAATGCTGCTCCTAATTCCCATTTGTCTTAGTTTCTCCTTTGAGGTCTCATTTGTGCTAATGAATGTGCATAACAGAAACAAGACTATAAGATGGCTCTCAGAAAGTACTGGAAGGCTCTACGCTATTTAGATATCTGCTGGGAGAAAGAAGGGATTGATGAAGGTGACAATATTTCTTTGCACTTAAGGGTATCATCTTTTTCTTATAAGTGAAGTTGTAAGATTCTCGATTCACCATGGTTGTTTTGCATATACTGTATCGTGGCTTTGCAGAGAAGAGTTCAAGTTTGAGTAAGACAAAATCCCAGATATTCACAAATAGTTCTGTAAGCTTCATTTGTCACTCTTTGACTGCCTATCAATTTTTTAGCACTATAAAGTTCAAATAATTTTGCAACTTGGCTGCACTATTATTGTTTTGATATCCTAGAGCTGATTAAACATCGACTATTAATGTTTTATGCCTTCTCGGTCAGTTTTTATTTGTACTGAACTTAGTTATCTTGCAATTTTCCCCCTAATACTTGATGGGTTATGTGGCTATAGGCCTGCAAACTAAAACTAGGGGATCTGAAAGGAGCACTATTGGACACCGAATTTGCAATGCGTGATGGAGAAAACAATGTGAAAGCACTGTTCCGGCAAGGTCAGGTTAGTATTTCTAGGTGTAACAAGTTTAATTTATTCGATGCCAACGGCGTTAGCATTTTGGTCTAAGCTAATCATTTCTCATGGAAAAGTTGTTGACCATGAACCTTGCACATAAGCTGTTGTTACATCTTCAGTTATCTTCCTGATGTTGCACTTTCTGTCAATTCAGGCGCACGTTCTTGTCCTAACGATTGTATAATTATCTTCCAGGCACACATGGCACTTAATGATGTTGAAGCGGCAGCTGAAAGCTTCAAGAAAGCTTTGCAATTGGAGCCAAATGACGGTCAGTAATTAACTTGGCTTCCACGAACTTAATAGGATTTTTCTCCTTGACATCAAAGCAGTGTATATTGTCAACAATGTGAACTTGTTGAGCTCTTTTGATAACATTTTGCGTTGCCGTTCAGGTGGGATAAAGAAAGAGCTTGCTGCTGCTATGAAAAAGGTTGGTAGACCAAATTGAATACATAGTTCCTTTACGCACCAAACATATGTAAACAAATGTATTTATGGAACTAAACTTGGTGAGCACAGATCAATGATCGACACAATGAGGAGAGAAGGCGATACCGTAAGATGTTCCAACCAAGCCCAACTGGTACGTCGAGTGTGCTCTGCTTTTGGCTTTGTTTGTATACATTTTTTTTCTTATTGCTGCTTGACATATGAATGATGTACTTATATACGGGAATTCTATGCAGGTGCAGATGAGCAATAATGTTTTGGGAGCTTCAATGATCTTACGTTTTGGATAAAACACTAGGGTTCGGTTCGGGTATTCAGCTTCTGCTTTCTGGTGCAACTGTTCGACAAAACTGATCAGAAGTAAATACATATAGTGTCGGTTCGTTTAGGAAACAATGAAATCCTTGAAAAGAGAGCTTGTCATATTGGTTTTATCAGGTTTCAGTGGAAGGAGAGGGAAACATTTCTAAGCAGAATTCAACTGTGCAAAGATGAGGTTTGAACCAATTGTTGCTAGACAAAAAGATTTGATAATTTTTAAAGATAATTTTTTACTGTCGACTTTTTGATGTTAAAGTTGGTGGTTGCTTTAAGTCTGTGTTAATACCATGTTTCGGGGTTAGATCTATACAATCTCTATTCGTGATAAATCGCTAAAGGGAAAAAATAATATGAACAAATACTTAGTCATCATGTCTCTCGCTCGGTCCTCCATTTGAGGCAGGGTGTCATGGCTATTGGTCTTCCCCTCTGGTATGGTTTTCAACTTCTATACTGAATCTTTCCAATTCCTCGCTTCAACATGTGGAAGCTTTTCAGACCGGGGTTCATCCCCCTCTAGTTATTGGGATGTCTTTACCGACGACAGATCTGTTTTGTTCCACTGGTTTGAACGGGGTCGGCTGTCTGGATTTACCCTACGTGCAGTTTGGATCTCATCCTGGGACATTGTTCTTATCCTTCTCTCGAGGGACACGAACTTTTGCATGGTACATGCACTTCTTTCTCCACTCTCCCAGGCACGTCTCTCTGGCCATATTTTTCAGTTCTCCCACTTTTAATTTTGTGGTTTTCTGAAGCCTGGTTTCCACACATCCTTTTGTTACTGGCGATCTTCTCCAGGTTTCTTTACTTTGGAATATTTCGCTTTCTCGCACATGGTGGACGAGGTTAATACCCTTCTCGCGCTTCGCTTCACTTCACCGAGGACAAGATTGGTGATAGGAGTGTGTAAAAATATCTGATTCATTTATCCGATGACCCGATCTGATTTGTTTTTGGATAAGTCAGATTGATATCCAATAAAAAATTAGATAATCAAATTAGATACCGATAGAAGAAATCTTGATTTCAGATTATCCGAATATTCGAAAAATAAATGGGCAGCCCTAGGCCCAGTAGCCTGATGCATTCTCAAATCCTAGTCTGTAATTGGGCCGTCAGTTTTCACAGAAATTTTTTTGTGAACCAAACAAATAAAATGGAGCTATTGAGATAGCTCAACTATTGATTAATAATTTGTCAATTCTGTGAACCAAGCAAACTAATAGCATCATGTGGAAGTTGTTGAATATTTTTAAGCTTTCGTTCTATGCTTATCTATTTCATACTTTTTTATTAAAGATATATTAGTAATGATGTTATTATTTCTGAATAATATTAATATTGATATTAATATTTTAATATGAATTCTTTTAAAAATAATTATATTACCAATCAATCGAATTCCGTTGGAAAGATTTTTGAACAAATGTCGTAGGAAGATTTATTTAGGGTATCTAATTTATATATAATTTAATATATTAGTAAAATTATAAGCATATTAATTATTAAGATATTATAAAATAAATATATTAAATTAAAAAATATATATATTATATATAATCAGATATAATTAGATATCATTTATATAATTTTTATAGAATAATTTATATATAATTTAATATAAAAAGGGATTAATCATAGGTAAAATAAGTTATATATTCGGATAGCATATTCGAATATCTAATCTGAAATTTCAGATACCCGAAAAATTGGATATCCAATTTTTTTTATCGGACTTTGATCGTGATTTTTGATATCTATAATTTCGGATCTGATCAGTTCTGATATTCAATTTTGCACACCTCTAGTTGGTGATGTCCTCCTCTTTGGGTCTTCGTTTCCTCAATCGACCATGTCTTTAGACATATGTCTTGTGGGTCGTTTGTTTGGTACTCTGTCAGTGGAATTTGATACGACGACCAGGGTTCTCTGTTGCGGAAGACGGTTATCGAATAGAGCAAAATCACAACTGATAATTTGAAAAAATAAAATGAAAATAAAAAAGACACAAAATTTACGTGGAAAACCCCTAAATAATATAGGGTAAAAACTACGGGCAACGGTAGAAGAATTTCACTACGAGAAAATAGGAATTACAACTTCTCTCGATCTACCAAGGAGAAAACAATGAAAATTCTCTCTTGATAAAAAGGAGAAAACAACTCTAAAGAAACTCTCTAAATTCTCTAGTATTGGAAGAAAGCTGGAATGCTTTTGGGATGATTTTGAAGCTAAATGAGCTAGGATATTTATAGTTGAAGCTTAAGGACTAATCATATAAATACCCTAAAGTTTAGGGATTAAAATTTAGTATTTATCCCTTGCATAATTCAATAAAAAATAATTCTTAATAATTTTTCAAAGCCACCGGCTGCTACTTTAGTTTTCAACAATCTCCCACTTGAAGATTTGATTAGAACAATCATATCTTCACACCATTATTTCTACCTTGTACCTTAATGTTGCTTACGTTTCTGACAGGCCACAAAAGGATCGACACCAAGTAAATTTATCAGCATTGATTGCCTTCGTCATGAAATCTGCTATGTTGTCTTTGGTATGGATCTTCTGCATATTTATTATCCCTTCTTCCACCTTTTCACGAATAAAATGGTGTTGAACTCGTATGTGTTTTGTCCTTGAATGAAATGCTGGATTCCTTGCTAGATGCAAGGCGCTTTGACTGTCACAAAATATAAAGACATACTCTTGATTGTGCCCAAGCTCCTCCAATAGCATATTCAACCAAATTGCTTCTTTACTGGCTTGTGTAACTGCTACATATTATGCTTCTATTGTGGATGTAGCGACAACTGACTACAATTTTGAAACCCAGCTTAAAGCCCCACCAGCAATTTTGAACATATATCATGTAGTATATTTGCTTTTATCCAAATCCCCTGCATAGTCAGAATCTACATACCCATTGATTATTAAGTTTGATCCTCTGTAACATAATGCAACATTTGAGGTCCCTCTGATGTATCTCAGTATCCTCTTTACTGTATTCAAATGCTCTTTTCCTGGATTCGCCATGTACCGACTAACCACTCCCACTGCTTGCGCAATGTCTGGTCTTGTGCATATCATAACGAACATTAAACTTCTCACTGCTGATGCATACGGTACTCGAGACATCTCCATCCTCTCTTCTTCACTGCTAGGACTCACACTGGAGGATAATTTGAAGTTAATAGGAAGAGGGGTAGAAATTGGCTTACAATCTTGCATGCTGAATCGTGACAAGATCTTTTTTAAGTAATTTTTTTTGAAAGCCAAATCTTCCTATTACTTCTGTCTCGGTGAATTTACATCCCTAAAATCTTGTTTGCTGATCCTAAGTCCTTCATTTCAAATTCCCTAGCCAGTTGTGCCTTCAATTCTTCAATATGATCTTTGTTGGGTCCTGCAACCAACATGTCATCCACATATAACAGTAATACAACAAAATCGTTATCACCAGACCTCTTGAAATAAGCACAAGGGTTTGCATTAAGTCTGTTGTATCCAAGACACATAATGAAGGAATCAAATCTCTTATACCAACACCTCGGAGCCTGCTTTAGACCATACAGAGATTTGTTCAACCTACAAACCAAGTTCTTCTTTTCTTTTTCTTCAAAACCTTCAGGCTGAAGCATGTAAATCTCTTATTCAAGATTTCCATGAAGGAAATTTGTTTTAACATCTAGTTGCTCTAGATGTAAGTTCAATGTAGCACACATTACCAAGACTACTTGAACTGTTGTTATTCGAACCACAGGAGAAAAAATTTCATTAAAATCAATACCTTCTTTTTGTGCATATCCTTTGACCACCAGTCTTGCACAATACCTCTTCACTTGATCGTCACCATTTCGCATGATTTTGAAGACCCATTTATTACCAATTGGCTTCCTTCCTTGTGGTAGTGGCACAAGGTCTCATGTATTATTTTTATGAAAGACTTCGATTTCTTCTTGTATCACCATCATTCATAATGAAGCATCTGAGTTGTTTATTGCCTCCTGGTATGTTGATGGCTCATCGTCCTCTGTTAAAAGGCAGTATGTAATATTTTTCTTTTATAACATAATCTGAGTGCCAATTGGGACGTCTTCTCACACGATCTGATTGGCGAGTTGTTGGAGCTTCGAAACTCTCTGGTTCTTGTTCATCATGTGCTGGTTATGCTTCAGAAGAATCTCCTTGTTCAAACTCCTTTTCCACATGTATATGTGTAGTCTCTGACTTTTCAGCACTATCATCATCGTCTTTTCTTTGTAGTTTATCTTCTACAAAGATGACATCCCTGCTGATAATCACTTTACGGGCAGTGGGATCCCACAAGCGATACCCTTTACACCATCAACATACCCCAAGAATTTGCATTTCCTAGATTTTGGATCCAGCTTTGAAATTTCTTGGGAGTTGTACATCACATATGCAATACTTCCAAATACATGGAGGTTTGAATAATCAGCTGGTTTTCTAGTCCACATATCCATTGGTGTCTTTAGTTATATTGCAGTTGATGGAGCTCGATTCATCAAATAACAGGCGATATTGACTGCTTCTGCCCAGAATGATTTTTCTAGGCCTGCATCCCTCAACATTGCTCTTGTTCTTTCTAACAAGGTTTTGTTCATCTGCTTTGTCACTCTATTTTGTTGAGGAATGTTCGCCATTGTGAACTGTCTTTTGATGCATTCTTTCCTACAAAAGTCATCAAATTCTTCACTTGTGTATTCTCCTCCATTATCTGTTCTGAAATACTTGATCTTATTTCCAAAATCAAGTTCCACCCGCGCTTTGAAGTTTTTGAAAGTTGAAAACACAGCTGACTTCTTCTTAATAGGGTACACCCAACATCTCCTGGAGTAGTCATCAATAAATGAGACAAAATATTTTGCTCCGCCTAGGGATGTAACTGGTGCTTGCCATACGTCAGAGTGAACTAATTCTAGAACACTTTTGCCTCTAGAATTTGATGTGTTAAATTTCAACCGGTGCTGCTTACTTGTTATGCAATGCTCACACAAAGTAAGTGATACCTTTGTTAAGCCTGGAAGTAGCTTTTGCTCCACAAGGATTTTCATTCCTTGTTCTGACATGTGTCCAAGTTTCTGATGCCATAGCATTGCAAAATCTGAACTACATGA